TACGCCCTCAATGATTCCATCATTGCACGCAGGCCACACATCAGCTATCTTCACTGATGCTGTGACAAGAGTTACAACCCCCGTAACTGGTCACCCAACCTTTGAAGACGTCAACGTTCTACTAAATCGCTTCCTAGATTCCACCATTAAACCATGGGTGCAAGATGGAATGACCGCTCCAGCACAGGAATTTAGGACCACCCAAGCGGTTCGGTCTGAACAACCCCCACCCCAACCTTCACCCGAACCCTTCATTTCCCATACACAACCCGTATCCTCCACCCCTCTATCTCACCAATCCATTAACCAAATACCCATTCCTTCACATTCTCGGGGAACCCAGGATACCGAACTAGTATTCTCCCCACGCCCGACCACACCCTCCATCGATCTCTCCTCACTACCCTTCGAAACCCTTGCATCGGCCTTGCTGGACAATCTTCTAAACATCCCTGAAGCCAAACTTACCCTTCACCAGCAAGCCATTCTCGAAGCCCTTCTTTCTTCCCCGGAGACCAAAAGCAAATGCAAGGAGAGTCCTCGTGGTCGCAAACGTTCCCATGAGGACCCCGATGATTCGGATCCTCATGAGGGGGAGAACAAGCGCCCACGATCACTTGAGCAAACTGCTTTACCTAGCCAAACTCCACAGCCCATTCAACCAGAAACCTCTACAAACCAACAGCCACCACCCGCAGCCAAAATCTCTAGCCTGGTCGAGCTAGACTCAACATCCCGAGGCGTATCTCCTAGTGATACCAACCGAGGAGGGGATGGAAGTCCTGATGATGCTACCACTGGTACATCTTTCACATCAGGCCATCAGTTAGATCCTAGTTCAAAGATGATGACAACGGGAAATCCTCGTGAACCCGATGTTTCGATTAACAGGCCTCCGTCTCCAAAAGGTCAACCTGTCACTACCATTCTGTCGTCAGATGAAATGCATGATCAGCTTGAAGATATCATTATTCACGACAAATGGCCCAGACAGTGGACGGAGATGGATCAAATAATGCAGGATGAAGAGTGCGAAGATATGCAGTGGAACTGGTTTCTACGAGAGCTAATCAACAAATGTGCTGAAGATATCATCAGGCTCGAGGAAGATGAACGAAAGGAAGGGGAGAACTACAAGGAATCTCAGAAAACTCTTGAATCCGTCATCAGACAATCAGCGGGAAGACTTCCCAAGACAGAGAAACCTTGGGACAACGTTCGAATCAAAGCCCCCTTCCAAGAGGAAATAAGAGAGCGTATTTGGCGTACACCAGACAAAGTCAAACCGTTGAATGAACTGAAGCTACGAGGCCTTACCCATCTAAAAGGAAAGTAGGCTGGAGGTCATCTACATATGTTGTTGCAAAGGTCAACTGGTACTCAAAGAGAGCTGATGGAACAAGACTTGAAGTCCAATATTCTCCCGATTCATCAAATTCTACAAGTGAAGGCCGAGGATTATCACAGAGTGACTTTCTATTCTTACAGGCTTCAACGCACTGACGGGAGTGAATTTACTTGTCAAGAAAATGACTTCATCATGCTTAAACCAGACGACATCTATCAAATGTTCATGGCTTATCGATACCTTCCAGTCAGGCAAAGCAAAACATACAGCGAAGGTCTTGCAGCAATCAAGAGATTCATGCTCAGACAAATCAGAGTGCACTCTTCACACGACCTACAGATGGCTATTGAGTGCAACTTGACAAAGACAAACCTTACAAAGCCAAGACTGTATGGTCCAGAACTCGAAGACTTTCCAGCTTACCACATCTTCTTCACACCGCCAGCAGTCACTTATCTCAACCACAAGAACGAAAAACGTCTGATGGTGGTCAATGAAATTGAGAAATACTGTGATGGACCGCTGAAGATAATCAAAGAACAGCTTCTAAAGATGAAGGCACAGCTAGAGGAAAATCTTCAGGAGGCATCGTCATATGTTCAAAAGGAACACTCTACAGCAGAGACCATTTTAAAAGCCATCGACGATCGCCTAGAAAAGAGAAATATGCTAAGGCAATACGAGCATGCACTGAATATGAGGAAGCACTATTTCAAGTCACAGAAGCAATAACAAAGTGGCACTTGATCACAAAGGGGGAGATTGTTGAAGATATTTTAATTGTGAATCAAGTTTGTCATAGATTAGCTTTATTATTATTCCTTGTATTAAATAAGTGCATGTATTAGATAGAATGTGGGCCAAGTGTTAGGCCCATATAAACAGGCTAAAAGCCTTTAACGCCTAACCTGAACCTCGCCTATAAAAAGGGAGCCGAGGGTTCAGGATTAGGTTAACGTCGTACTTGTTCATTATAGCCTTACGCGCATATCTTTCTGTGTACGAGTTCACGGTCTATCAAAGAGGGTTTTACATTGATTCAATCTGTGTTCATCTTTAAGTTTAATCTTCTTTGTTAGACTGCTTATCATTGCTGTTACAGAAACAGGGACTATCAAACTCAATTAACTTGTAGTTGATTGCATATATTTTACTTCACTATCTTCATGATATTTGTAACTATTAGATTTATTGTAAATTATACTACCAGCAAATAGACTGCAATGATAATTATATAACTATACATGCAAACTCAATATATTTTTTAAGTTTTTGAAATACTTGGAGTGGACGTCATATCTTGCTACTATGATGATGAACAACCTTCCTATCTTAACTAAGATTTTTATGTTCTACTTATTAAATGAAAATTGAAACTTTCTTTTATTCTATTAAGTGTTCACTTAATTAAGTTTAAGCTTTGATGTTTGAAGTTATTAGAACTTTAAATAAAATTTTAATACTTGTGTTTGATTTTCTTTTTAAAATTTTAATGTGGTAGAAAGCAAATAATGTGCCCATTTATTAGATGAGGAAAAAATTATTCGAGGAACCGATAAAAGTAAGAACCGAACCGTTTAGTATTGGTTCGGTTTCATAACGGTTCTTGATTTTTTACACAAGAACCGAACCGATTTCACTAGTTAAAATTTTGGTAACGGTTCCACCAATTTTGAGTAAGAACCGAACTGGTCCCAGGCCTAATAAAATCAGAATCACGTGGTGCTAACAAAAAGTACTTATGTAAACAAATAAGTAGAAAATTAATTGTTGTTTATTTTTTGTAGGTACCTAATAATTTAGGACATTCGATCCAATAAAGTTCATCAAAATATCATTTTATTGCTTCATACACTGATATACATAAATTGTAGGATGTGCACTTTCACTCGGTAATTTCTAACATGTATTCCTTGTCATTGTTAGTCGCTTTCAAGTCATTACTTCATATTTGGACCTCAATCGTATCATATATTTTGACCACGGTAAGCAAACAACCAAAATTAGTGGAATAAATACCGGAAAACATTTACCAAATATTATTAGAAAAGCAAGCGAAATACTGAACATTTACCCTGTCTAAAATCAGAGTGCTTATAAATTGTAGGAGTACCTTTGACAACATGTGCAAATAATGAATCACCTAACCACCAATTTGAAGAATATATAGATGTTATCTGAAAGTTTAGGCCCACTTTCATTAGAGGTTGTTCAGAGTCGAAATTTTTGATGAAATTTTGTGAACATGTTCTCCATGAAGTATACATTATATTCATCAACTTTCATATTAAAATTCAATCGAGAAGTCAATTAACTAAATCATTGAAAATAACTGCACTTTATATATATATATATATATATATATATATATATATATATAGAGAGAGAGAGAGAGAGAGAGCCATCGGTCCGTTATTAAGAAATAAAGAGCCATGATACGTAAAGTGTACTGTTGTGTGTGTGGTGACATACATGGAATAAAATAACCCAAATCCTATTAGCATCCAACGATTAATGAGAAGGTCACATGGGTAAATTCAATTTAAACTTATCAAGCCGTAAATTTAAAATTGGAAATATAATAATGTCTAAATCCCACCATTTATGCTAACTACCCACTAACTTTCCACTAATATTTTAACCTTTCAAATATATGAAGTTATATTAAGGAAAGTTGCATAGTCTCTACATTTTTTTACTTTTTTTGAAAATCGAACATCATTGCACGATTTAAAGATCTTCTTATAACATTTTGATTATAATTTAAATTTGTAAGAAGCTCATACAGGTAGAAGTGTCTGCATATATACTTAGTTCATGTGATGTGCATATTAATGTTACATGATGTGCATATTAAGGTTAAGTGATGTGCATTATAAATTTAAAACGTCTCCATAACATATTAAAATTGCACAATGATAAAATATGTCAACGCTGCATTCTAGTAAGTCATATGTTGCGTTTTATCATTATGATATCTGCATTTTATGTTCATATATTGCATTTTAGTAAGATGATATGCTCACTTTAGAAGTTCATACTGCATCTTATCCTTATGGCATCTGCCTTTAAGTAGTTCATATGTTGCATTTATTATTACGGAATGTGCATTTTAGAAGTTCATACACCACATGTTACTAATGGGATATGCATTTTAGAAGTTCATATCGTGCATCTTATTATTATGAGTTTGTATCACTAGTGGAAAATATGGATTTAATAACGGTTATAATGGACTTTTAATAACGGTTCAGAACCGTTATTGTTGCAGCACCTATTAAAAGTCCGGTACTTTTAATATAGGTTCGAGAACCGTTATGAAAGTTTTTTTAATAACGGTTCAATTGGGCTTTTAATAACGGTTGTAGGCCGATATAGTTGCTGCACATGTTAAAAGTCCGGCACATTTAATAAGGGTTAATACAGAACCGTTATTGAAACATTCAATAACGGTTATACATCAACCGTTATTAAAGATTTTCAATATGGGATTAATCAACCCATATGAAATGTCTTCTTAACATTTAATTCATACCCAGCTATTTCTAAATATAAAAAATTTATACATATCATCATAGGAACATTTATCGCAACAAAGTAAACAAATGATAATATCATTGCTCAAAACTAATAAAATTCCACATTCACATTGTTTTGATCCAAAAATATTCAGCAAAAACTAGGTATGGGTTCACAACATTCATCAAAAACTTACTTTGAATTCACTAAAACTATGAGTTCAAAAAAGTTATCCAAAACTAGCTAAGAGTCTAAAAATTATATCAAATATCCGTAGCTTCGCAGAAAAATGACTGGTCCAATCCATTAACAGAGGGATGAAGGTTGATCGCATCAGATGCTTCTTCCTCGTCCCATAAATACAAAGAGCAAGGGGGTGATAATATGTTTGAAAATCATCTCCTTTACAAACAGGCACACTTCTCTGCTTGCTGCAATATAAAATCAATGTTATATTAATTAGCTTGATGGGCTTACTAGTAACACAGAAAACAATCCAACAGAAAAGGAAATAGAGAGCAAAATAAATGGTAAGAAACAAAATCAAGTTGTCGAAGGTAAGCATGAGACTCCATAAATACCAATAATGTAAGAAACAATAAGTTTAATCTGCAGTAGCTATAGGAAAAACAAAAGTGTGACACTTTTACAATTGCTTCAAACTAGCCTTACATAGATGCACATTGAGGATCTAGAGTCTTCCTCCAGATGGAAATCTCTCCTTGCTGTGCTAGAAGATTCCAGCAGATTTTCTTGGTAAACTTTTCAAAAAGAGTTGATACACTTCCGGTCTTAGTATTGATAGAACCTCCTTGCTGCTGATTTTGAGGGTGAGGTTAAAACAAAATAACCTCCAGGTTTGAGTATCCGGTCAATTTCAATTAGACAAACCCCATCTGGTTTGCAAAATCACAATTAGATTCATGATTAAAAAATATTTACATGCAACCAGAGATGTACTATATATACACACTTTTCTAACAATAGGTCCCATTGCTACAAAATACTTCATAGATTTTGACTGGTGATCCATATTAAGGTACACTTGTCATCTTTTAGTGAAATTCTAGAACACCCGGAATAGTTACAAAATGAACAATGAACTCATCAGCAATGAACTTCCATAAAATGCTTCATAATAATAGAGTTAGTGAATAAATATCTTATGCATATTAAAGAGATTAAAGTACAAACCAGTGAATTTTCAATCCTGAAAGGTAACAATTGATAACCAATCAACACTTTGATTCTTAGAATCATCAATCCTAAAAGGTAACAATTTATAACCAATCAAACATTTTCATCCTTAGAGCATCTCCAATGCAAAAGTGTTAACAGTACATGCGTGGCAGGAGAGATATAGACATATAAATGATAAATAAATAAATAGATAGTTTCTGACATTCTTTAAGTGTAATGAATTTTGTAACTTTATATACACAATGTCAAGCACAATGTCAAGATTTAGACGGTGTGTTTGACATTGTGAATAAAAAACAACTGAATAATTACACCATGGAAAGAATGCGTAAGACTTTCTATTAATTATTTTTGTGTCTATATCTCTCCTGTCACGCTTGCACCGTTAGGGCGTTAACACTTTTGCATTGCAGATGCTCTTAGAATCATTAATCCTGAAAGGTACCACTTTATAACCTATCAAACATTTCCATTCTTATATGGTGGGGATGTAAAAACGAGTGAGTATTTTTTTAAGAGCAATAGGTGCTACTATGCTACATCAGAATCTCTTTATAGATAAAAATTCCAGTGTAAAAGCAGTTACACGCCAATGAAAACTATTTTCCATGCACTAGTAAAAAGACTATATAGGAAAAATCTGAGAAAGGTAAAAAAGAATCTCTATAGAGAGTTTCTTTTAAACAATTACCTTTTATGTCCCATAGGATACCACATTGGGCACAATGAACCATGTCATATGCCAATGCAGGAAACGGAAGTTGTTTTGAGATAAAGTTTCCGATAATTGCTGGAAGGCCTCTCTCAAGTGCTAAATGGACCTGGCTACCATATCTACTACACACAGGGAAATCAAATTCAAGGAGAGTAAGTGAGCCCCAAAGCTACCAAACCCACAACCAACATCTAACACAGTCTGCACCTGTTATCAACAGCATGATATATCTAAGCCCAAGTGTAATTTTTCAAAGTAAAACCTTTTTAGTGGCACAATCACAAATCAAAGATACTAGCACTTCACTACTTACGGAGTCGAAGTTGTAAGGAAAGAAGATAAAAGAAAACTGTATAGGACCAGAGCGAGAAGCCGAGAAATTCTACCACTTAAACCAGACAAATGTGTTTTGACAGATAGTTAAGATAAACTTACACCAGCTGGAGGAAGTTCATGGTCACTTCCCAACCCAATCATTTTCGAAATTTGGTAAGAGTAATCTTTTACGCCATCATCTGCCACTCCATCCTCTGAGCGAAAAGCAATCTGGTTCTCCTCTAATAACATTAACCTGAGAAAATCATGACTAATTATGAGATCAATATTTTAACACCCAACTGGCATCTTGATGAACCGTCAAGGTTTTCTACAAAAAGCATGTCAATTAATACAGAAGACTTAGCCCAACATGTCAAATCTTGTGTAAGGAATGTATTTATTTCATTAAAATTACCTTTTTGTCATGCTTCCAGATGACATGAAATGGTCTTTTGTTAATTTCACATTTCCACTCCAGATGACATCCCTGCCTACTGGCCAATTCAGTGGAATCTTATGGTCTTTAGGAGGACGAACTAAACAATGCTGCAAATCCCGTGAAATCTCACAATGCACTTAATTTTTTAGAAAACTCTTCAAAACCACTACTAGAGGTCGTTAAGAAAATACCATTCAAACTATTTCCTCCCATGCGTCGCAGTCACCAATGGCGTTGCAATAATCAGCACCAAATTTAATTGTACATTGCCTTGTAATACCCGCTCCGTAATGCCTTTGTGATCTATCCATTTTACTTAGCTAACTGGATCAAGTAAAGAAGCATTAGTATTGAAAACTAAATAATACTTACAAGGTTAAAAGGGAAAAATAATCTAGAAGTTATATCAAACTCTAAAACCGAACAGAGCACCATGAAACTCGGGATAACTACAAGTATATATTAATCTTCCAGTAATACAAACCTGCTGGTTCCCTTTTACATGACTACTTATGAAGATGACAAAAATTGAAAGGGATCAGATATCAAAGAGCTACTTTAAGAGTAAAAACTTTACATACTCTGGGTGAGAAAATTATTGAGGTGAAATGGAGTGAATAAGGTTCCCTTTCATCCAACTAAAAAAAGAAACTTTGATTTTTTTAACAAATTCAAAATTGACATTCTGGTATAATAATTTGCGTAGTTAAGTGTAAGAAAAATATAATGATTTGTGTGCTCTATACTCCCGATTCACTTCGGTTCTAGAACCAGGCCAACCATTGTTCACTCAGAGTGTTTTTATTCTTTTCATAAGGCCAGTGTAGTCAAAAAACGTGCTTGATAGATGATAACACTTATGGAGTTTTTTTTTGCATTTCTCTTCTTATATGAACATTTACCTTTTGTTTTGCTTCTGTTTTGTTTCTTTCCAGTTCAGGTAAATTGAAAATGTAAGAAGAGGAATGTGTTCCAAAGAAGCTCTACTTTTGCTTCATTTACTAGTGCAAGGGTATTTTAATTCCTGGTTTATTCTTCTCTATTTTGGAAATATACCCAGTAATAGTCTACTATCATATTAAGTACCCCGTAGTAGGTATTAGTGTTCTTTGATATATGTCTTTTAACTTTTAACATATTAAGTACCGTAAGGCCGTAATTTGGCAAATATTATTTGCATTGATGTAATTACAAATAGTATATCAATAATTCTTTAAATTAAAAATGTGGTTATTTAAAGCTATTTTAGATTTTCAAATTGGGCTAAATTTAAATATAGTTATCAAAGTGTAGCAACCAGGTACTACCAATCGAGGGTCAGTATGAACAAAGTCTAATTCTCTTAGAAAGAAGAAATAAAAGAGTATGACTCAAAATAGATGGCCTCATTGATATACTTCTACAATCAAGTTATTGACATTAAAATAGAATATTCTACAGGACCTCGACAGGAAATTTGATTAGAGACTAATAAATAATACTTCAGAACCTCATACACACTTTACAATAATACTTCAGAGACTAATAAATAATACTTTAAATAATACTACAGGACCTTTGCGCCTTTGCGCCTCTGGTGCGTAAAGGCAAAACAACTTTTAAAACCTTGCCTGGACTTGACTCAAATCAAACTATGCAACTATCAGGAATGCCCTGAGGGGGTGGACCACTCTTTCATAATCAAATTACTTTAGCTATTTTGCATTTCTGTGGCCCTTTCATCATCCCATCAAGTTCATATAGATCCCACCTAATTATTTCTTTTACATTGCCACTTAAGGTGATGAATGAACATTCTCTGGCAATATAATGTGCTGGCTTTCCAGCTCCTCCCCGATTATTATCTGCTAAAATGAGTTAAAAGCAACACAGAAAGCAATTTTTATACGCTGGAACTCGTGGGGAATTGAATGGATGGGGTGATCACTAAGAAAGAAACAAGAAAACATAAAGGTTATTATTACTTCCATACATGGAAAATGAGTTCTAACTGGAAGAAAGTTCAAGAAACAAGAAAACATAAAGGTTATCATTACTTTCATATTTAGAAAATGAGACCAACAGATTAGATATGTAATTCTTAATTTTTTTATTAGAACTATTATATTTTCAAGTCATTTTTTTTTTTACAGATTCATTAATCTGACTATTTTATCTAGCAAATAACCTCAACTTTAGATGCATTAGTACATCCGCATAATAAATCTATGGAAAAACTGATATAAGGTCAAAAAATAGTATGCTAGACTATAAATCACGGTAAAATAGTTACCACACAGAACTACTACTCACTGTGCCGTCCACCACCCTAATGTTTCCTCATACAGTACGAACCAATTTTCATCATTACAAACTTTCGCCATTTCTTCTACGCTATGACTCATTCAGTAGCAAAGTAATTAACAGAAAAGAGCTAACCAAATTAAAATTCACCTTTCACTGCCATATCCTTCGCTATCCCTAGCTATTTCTGTTAGTCCCTGTTTCTGTAACAGCAATGAATAATCGATCTAACAAGGAAGATTAAACGTAAATATGAACACAGAATGAATCACCGTAAAACCTTCTTTGATAAACCCTGGAACGTACAGCAGAATGATAAGCGTAAGGCTATGAATAATAAGTACGACGTTCAACCTTTTCCTAAACCTCGGCTCCCTTTTTATAGGCGAGGTTTAGGTTAGGCGTACCAGGCTTTTGGCCTGTTTAAATGGGCCTAACACTTGGCCTTATTTCTATCTAATTTATGCACTATTTAAATACAAGGATTAAATATAAAGCTAATCTATGACCAACTTGATTCACAATAAAATATCTCCAACAATCTCCCCCTTTGTGATCAAGTGCCATTCTCTTATTGCTTCTGTGATTTGAAGTAGTGCTTCCTCAAACCAAGTGCATGTTCATACTGCCTCAGCACATTTCTCTTTTCGAGGCGATCGTCAATGGCCTTTAAAATTGTCTCTACAGTAGAGCATTCCTTTTGAACATAAGACGATGCCTCTTGAAGATTTTCCTCTAGCTTTGCCTTCATCTGTAGAATCTGCTCTCTGATTATCTTCAGTGTTCCGTCACAGTACTTTTCGATTTCACTGACTACCATCAGACGCTTTTCGTTCTTGTGGTTCAGATAGGTGACTGCTGGCGGTGTGAAGAAGATGTGGTAGGCTGGGAAATCTTCAAGTTCTGGACCATACAGTCTTGGCTTTGTCAGATTTGTCTTCTTCAGATTGCATTCAATAGCCATCTGTAGGTCATGTGAAGAGTGTACTCGGATCTGTCTAAGCATGAATCTCTTGATAGCTGCGAGGCCTTCGCTGTATACTATACTCTGCCTGACTGGAAGGTATCTGTAGGCCATGAGCATTTGGTAGATATCATCCAGTTTCAGCATGATGAAGTCGTTCTCTTGACAAGTGAATTCGCTCCCATCGGTGCGTTGAAGTCTGTAAGTGTAGAATGTTACTCCATGATAGTCTTCAGCCTTCACTTGTAGAATTTGATGAATCGGGAGAATATTCGACTTTAGATCTTGTTCCATTAGTTCTCTCTGTGTACCGGTTGACCTTTGCAGCAACATATGCAGATGACCTCCAGTCTGCTTTCCTTTCAAGTGAGTAAGGCCTCTTAGCTTCAGTTCGTTCAGTGGCTTGACTTTGTCTGGTCTACGCCAGATATGCTTTCTGATTTCTTCTTGGAAGGGGGCTTTGATGCGAACGTGGTCCCAGGGTTTCTCTGTCTTGGGAAGTCTTCCCGCTGATTGTCTTACGACCGATTCAAGAGCTTTCTGGGATTCCTTGTAGTTCTCCCCTTCCTTGCGTTCATCGTCCTCGAGCCTAATGATATCTTCAGAGCATTTTTTAATAAGCTCTCGTAGCCACCAGTTTCTTTGCATGTCCTCTTGTTCAGCCTCATTCCGAAGATCATCCCATTCTGTCCATTGTCTCGGCCATTTGTCGTATATCACCGCCTCCTCCAGTGCATCATGGATGTCTTTGCCTGGGGGGATGTATGGAACTCTTTGCTGCTTTTGAGGCGGTGATTGTTCCTTGGTAGCACTACCGGGTTCACTTGGATTGCCCATTGACATCAGCTTAGAACTAGGTTCCAACTGATGGCCTGATGTGAAGGATGTACCAGTGGTAGCATCATCAGGACTTCCATCCCCTCCTCGAACAGTATCTCTGGGAGATACGCCTCGGGATGTTTTGTCTAGCTCGACCACGCTAGAGAGATAGGCTTGGTTTTGGCAAGGGGAGGGTGGTGGTTGGTTGATGAAAGTCTCAGGTTGTTCGGTTTGGGGGCTATGAGTGGTAGAGGCACCTTGCTCGAGTATTCGTGGCCTCTTGTTCTCCCCCTCATGAGGTTCCGGATCATCGGGATCCTCATGTGAACGTTTGCATCCACGGGGACTTTCACGGCAGGTGCCCTTGGTGTCCGGATTAGCGAGAAGGGCAGTAAGGACGCCTTGCTGGTAGGGAGTGAGGTCAGTGTGGGGTATGTTTAGGAGATGATCCAGCAAGATCGATGCCAGGACTTCGAAGGGTTGGGATAGTAGTTCGATGGGAGGTGTGGTCGGGTGTGGGGATGATACTTGTTCTGTATCATGGGTTCCCCGAGAAGAGATAAGGCTATGGACTTTGGTGGAGGTGGCGGAGAGGACTGGAGAGGTTTGAGATTTGGAGTGAGAAGGTGATGGGTGTGGTTCAGGCTGGCTGTGTTCACTATGCACTGCCGGGGTGGTCTTGGATTCTTGTGCCCAAGCGGTAAATGCTTGTTGCACCCATGGCTTAATGGTGGAATCCAAGAAACGGTGCATAAGAACGGTGACGTCTTCGGTAGTGAGGTGTTCAGTTACAGGGGTTGTAACTGTTGTCACAGCATCAGTGAAGAGAGCTGATGTGTGGCCTGCATTCAATGATGGAGTCATTGTGGGCGTAGTAGGGCTTCCGACCGTCATCGTTGGTACTCTGGTCGTTGCTTCCAGGGTGCGTGCACATGTATGTGCGGTGAATAGTGTAGGTGTCCTAGAAAAATTAGAAAATGTAGGGAGTGTGACACCTAGACTCGATGTGCTCAAGGAAGTGGTGGTGACCTCGGGGCTGTTGGCCACTAATTCGCTCGACTGGTTCGGAGGGAACCAGAGAGGTGGGTGAGTCCCGCTGTTTTGAAACAATAGCCTATTGGGAGGCTATCGAGTGGCTGGGAGAAGGCTGTGCTTGCGCAGTTGAGCCAGATGCTGCGACTTCTACCCGGGAACCAAAAAGATCGGCTCCTGCACTTAAAGATTCAGCTCGGCTTATATTAATGAAGGGTTGACAATCGGCAAAGATATGCATTTCGTCCTCGTCAACAAGGTGTCTTTTGACGAGGCGTCGCTTCTTGGAGTTGAGTGACTGTGAAGCATCATTTTTCGCTTTGATGCGCTGCTCCCTGACGATGCCGGTAGCACTTGCTATATTGTGA